TTGGTACTATAACTAGATTCTTGGCATTCTATGTTTATCAATAATTGCCAAAATCAAAACAAAAAACTTTCTATATATATTGATGTTATCAATATATATATATTATATATATATAGATATACTATATATATTGATGTTATCACCGATACTGAAAATGTTTACGGGCTGTTTAGGCTCGTGCCACCTCTTAGCTGGCTTAATCTTCATCAATCAATTGACGCTTAAAAACGTTGGAGATCGCGCCGCTCCACAGAGGAGGCAAAGCAGACGGGAAGAAAAAATAGATTCTTTGGAAGAGCGATACGAAGTAAGATCACAAAACACATGATAACAACGTGTACTTAAATCTGGATAACACGGGTTCAAAGCTGGTCTCTCAGGTCTCTCGCAATTGCTAGACCACTATAACATGGCTATAGATGACCAAGATGGCCATAGATGGAAGACAAGCAAAGCGGCTATTTAGCGTACACAAATTTCGTGAAACGTTTCAATAAATGTCACTGTAGACTTATTGCACACAAAAGGAATTACTGGCAAAGTAATAAGAAGGATCTTTAATTTTCTAACTCGCAAAACCCAAAGAGAAATAGTTGACTAAAATAATCCGAATCATCAATTGTGAAAAAGCTCATTGCTCAGGGTTCTGTGCTTGCTCCAGTACTTTTTTTCTGATTATCAAATATAAAAGAAGGTAAAACTATAGTAATATATATAATCCTTTATAGATGACAGTAGTTTTTTTTTTAAGAGCAGGCAATGTAGAGGACACAGCAAAGCTCCAAACTGAAGTAAGCCAAGTCTTCCAATTGGCTACAGAAAACAGAATGTTTAAGGAAGACAAGTTCCAGCTCCTGCTCTATGGTAAAAAGAAAAATAACACACTGAAACAACACACAAAACGCAATAGAAGGAAAAAACCACGTACAAGATTTGGGAGTAATCATGTATGAAAACCTTTCCTTTAAAGAACACAGCATTAGCTGTTACAACTATAAGGAAAATGACAAGATGTATAAGAAGAGCCTTTCAAGCAAGAGATGCCAGACCATTGATGGTACCTTTTTAAGACACAAGTGTTCTCTAAAGTGGAATATTTTGCACACTAACAACCCCACTCAAAGCTGGAGAATTTCCTGACCTGGCGAACGTACACAGATCTTTTACTGGCCGAATCAATCCAATAAAACATCTAAGATCGATACCGCTAAAATATTTGTTTAAATTTGTATTCTCTAGAGGAAAGTCGAGAGATACAGAATAATTTACATTTGGAAAATATTAGAGAGACAGGTTCTAAATCTGCATACGGAAATGACTCCCTGCCAGGCCTCCTGATGTCTTACAGAGTGCAAAATAGATCCGTCTAAATCAGAGGTGCAATAGGTACGTTAAGAGACAAATCTGTCAATATCAAGGTCCTCGTCACGGCCCTTGTGGATTTGTTCGGTTCTAAGACTTTTCAACACACTCCCACTAAATAGCACGGGGGTATAACTAGCCAGCCTCTCAGGTGTTTGAAAGTGAACCTGATAAACACCTCTCAGAAGATATCTGATCAACCGGGTTGTGACTCATACGTCAGACTGCGTTCAGCAGCCTGGTTGGACGCAGCAAACCAGGCTGTTGGTCCGTTCCAGATCGTTCCAATAGGATCTGGGACCCAAGGTTCATGGGGAGAGAGCGCAAGAAGGTTTCTTAAGGATCTTGGTTCCAGGCTCATTGACACTACAAGAGATCCTAGAGCGGCAAGTTTTCTCTTCCAGCACCTCAGTGTTGCGATCCAGAGGGGGAATGCTCGCTGCGTCCTCGGTTCCTGCCCGGCGTCGGAGGAGTTCGAAGAAATCTACAGCCTCTAGGAAACAAACTTTCCCTTATTTCCTCTTAATGTTCTCTTTTTGTAAACAATCATATATGTAACTGCATAACCTTGTATAATAAAGTGTACAACATAAAAAAGGGGTGGTAGAAGTGAACACTCATACGTACAAATTGCAAGTGTTTCTCTGAATGCTCTGTGTTCCCTTCTTCAAGGCTGTAGGTCCCTATAATTGCACCAATGGTGATACCCCCTGTATATAATATATATATATATATATATATATATATATATATATATATATATGTATATATATATATATATAATATATATATATATATATATATATATATATATATATATATATATATATATATATATATATATATAATATATATATATATATATATATATATATATATATATATATATATATATATATATATATATATATATATATATATATTGGTGTATACTGGCAGCAGGTTTTCTTTCAAACATGTTTCATTGAATATGACCGCATATTCTGTATTTATTATTTTCTGGTTTAGGGCTTCTATCCCTCTATTTTCTTAGCATCTATTAAGCCCTGATGCTAAGAAAATAGTTAGAGGGATAGAAGCCCTAAACCAGAAAATAATAAATACAGAATATGCGGTCATATTCAATGAAACTATATATTATATATATATATATATATATATATATATATATATATATATATATATATATATATATATATATATATATATATATATATATATATATATAATCTGTTATCATGTGTGTGCATATCACCAATATTACCTGTTGCATACGTAGCAGGTTTTGTATACACTGTGAGTGTTGTCCCGAGGGTGAAGGAGCCGGAACGAGGAAGCATCTTGCTGCAGGTTTAAGACGACTCGCGTCGCCTTCAGAAACTTTGAGGTCACTGGTGCATTCAACTGTCTGTTCTCCTGAAGTTTTTTTTTTTTACTTTTATACATTTTTAGTTTATTTTTTTTTTTACCTGTGGAGGCTATCGTCAGCTTTCTTCATATTGTTGCGAGAGATACGTCACAGATACTGAGGGAAAAAAGAACAGAATTGAAGGTTGCCACGTCAAGAGTTTATTTGCGTACTGTTACATAAATGTGGAATTTTGAGCTGTCTCCCTCCTGACGTCTGGAGAGTGTCAGAAGGGCACGGCGTGGTGTGTTGAAAGTCTCGCGGGAGAGATAGAGAAAGAGATATATTGCATGGAATACACAGCTGCGTCACTAGAAGAACTTTAAAGGTATACGCATACTGCCCGAACGAGCCATCAGACTTCCTGGCTCTCACACTTCAGTTCTGACTCTTGACGCCTGGGATGGGTGGGAGAGTGTTCTGTTATGCTGGTGGGCGGCGAAGGTGGGAGGTGGGTGTGTCCACCACCTGGTAGGGAAGGTGTGAGCAGGGTCAGGTGAGGGTGCTGTAGGCGGGGTGGGCTGCCGACCAGGTCAGGAGCGGCGCGTCCGAGCGCTGCGGGACGGCTTCAATCAATACGTAGTTGCGAGCATCGCCGCCCGGCTCCGCCACCGTCGCCACTATCGAACTCGCCTGGCACGGCAGTTGAGACCGTGTGGAGTGGAGACGTACACCGGCCCTGCGACCCACCACGACCATCTCGCACTTGAACTGCACGTGGCACGCTGCACTCACCCTCTGTCACACTCCCCGCTCCGATCTGTCCCCCGTCTCTCCCAGGGTGAGTACCACGAAGCCCTAACCCACGCCGGTGACGGAACCGGAGAGGGTTTTAGTGCGAGGTTTGCGCCAACAACCCCCGCTGAAGTGAGAATCAGCTGAGTGCTACAGCTCGCGCCGGCCTGCTGCGAGTGAGGGGCTCTGGCCACAGAAAACAATACCCGCGGCCACCTACCTGGATTGTCAGGTGTTTGCTAGATGATTGTTCTCCCTCCGTGGCCCTCCTGCACTTGATAACCACGAGGGAGGAGTGCAGAGTGTGATCCTTGGAGTGCGTGCTTCCTGGAGGCGCTGCTGGCCAATTGAAGGCGAGGGAGAGAAAGACGGAAAAAGAATCAGGTACTTTTTATTCTGGTGATATGTTGATAGCCCCGGAGGGGATGGGGGGGGGGAGGGGTGGGGTTATGGGTCGGTGGGGAGTGGGGGGGGGGGGGGGGTGGAGACTATTCTTGGTGGTGTGGTTTACTGTAACGTGTATGGTGTATATCGTCTGATCACGCATATATACACACACACATATATATACACATCACCCTAAAATGCGTTTCGTAAAATTTAGAAAACTTAACCCAAAAATAAAGACATAATTGATTTCGAAATCGACACTACGGCGATTGCATTCGAACTGATTTTCACGGACGCATATATTCCCGAAGAGCATTTCACGCATGCAAACGTCTTGTGTCCGAATGCATGCAGAATGCTCGCCTGACCCTTCTCGCGTCTGCGGTCGAGCGTAAAAAATCGCCTTCGATTTTTAGGGCGCAGCTCGAACACGTTCATCACATCATCGGACAACTTTGCAAAGGTAAACAAAGACTGGTCATTGATTACAAAGGCTCTTGACTCGGCAGGGTAGTGTAGTGAGCTACTGCCTTGAGCTAGAGATGTCATTAAAAATCACTTAAGTCATAAAGAACAACAAAATATAAGGATTTTGACGTTTATATTCTAATCGCTAAGATATCAGACGGAGATAAGCGGGCGAATACGTGGGATTTGAGGTGTAAATAAAGACTCGCATTCATCAATTATGATGTTGAATTTGCGAGAGACTTTTAAGTCTTTACCCGCGTAAACGAGTTGCAAGGCTTTAGCGTCTTAAAATATCCAGTTTTTTATAGTCTTCAGATGATGAGTGAGATTTTTTGGGATGGCTGTTGCAATTGCCATTTTAACGTGATTGTAATTGCCATTATAACGTGATTGTAATAGCCTCTTTATGTGATTGTTATAGCCACTTTACGTGATTGTAATAGCCTCTTTACGTGATTGTAATAGCCTCTTTACGTGATTGTAATAGCCTCTTTAACGTGATTGTAATAGCCTCTTTACGTGATTGTAATAGGCACTTTAACGTGATTGTAATCGTTACTTTAACGTGATTGTATCTATCATTTTATGTGATTGTAAATATCACTGGCACGGCAGCCTGGCCCGGCACGGCAGCATGGCCCGGTATGGCAGCATAGCCCGGCACGACAGCATGGTCCAGCATGGTAGGATGGCCCGGTACGGCAGCATGACCCAGTACGGCAGCATGATTCAGTACGGCAGCATGGTCCAGCATGGCAGCATTGCCCGGCACGGTACCAGGGCCTGGTACGGCAGCATGGCCCGGCACGGCAGCATGGTCCAGCATGGCAGCATGGCCCGGTACGACAGCATGGGCTGGCACGGCAGCATGGCCCGGTACGGCAGCATGGCCCGGTACGGCAGCATTGCCCGGCACGACAGCATTGCCCGGCACGGCAGCATAGCCCGGCACGACAGCATGGCCCGGCACGGCACCATGGTTCGGTACGGCAGCATGGCCCGGTACGGCAGCATGGCCCGGTACGGCAGCATTGCCCGGCACGGCAGCATAGCCCGGCACGACAGCATGGCCTGGCACGGCAACATGGCCCAGTACGGCAGCATGGCCCGGCACGACAGCATGGGCTGGCACGGCAGCATGGCCCTTTACGGCAGCATGGCCCGGTACGGCAGCATAGCCCGGCACGGCAGCATGGCCCTTTACAGCAGCATGGCCCAGTACGGCAGCATGGCCCTTTACGGCAGCATGGCCCTTTACGGCAGCATAGCTCGGTACGGCAGCATGGCCCTTGACGGCAGCATAGCTCGGTACGGCAGCATGGCCCGGTACGGCCGCATGGCCCGGTACGGCAGCATGGCCCGGTACGGCAGCATGGAACATCATAATTATTTAAGATTATTGATCTGGTAAACCTCGATCAATGCAACTGAACAATAGTAGTGTTGATCACTATATATATATATATATATATATATATATATATATATATATATATATATATATATATATATATAGATATATATATATATATATATATATATATATATATATATATGACAATGTCAGACCACGGAGGAAAAATGAAACAGGAAATTTCCTTAAGTACTTTCGTATATTAAATACATCTTCAGAAGGTTAATATACGAAAGTACTTAAGGAATTTCCTGTTTCATTTTTCCTCCGTGGTCTGACATTGTCACATTCTTAATCACGTGTTTATTTTCGTGATATACACACACACACACATATATATATATATTATATATATATATATATATATATATATATATATATATATATATATATATATATATATATATATATATTATATATATACACACCTTCGACACGGATATGTATACTTAGTTCCGTATACATGTACTCAATGTATCACGTATCGAACCTCCTGAGATGTTTGTTTAGGAATATATATTTATTGATTTATTATTGATTTATTTTTGGTAATTTTTTTTGACGTGTTATCGTTGGTTAAGGATATCATCAGCCGAGCGAACGAATTTGAAATCGAACGAAGTCTAGTAATGCCTGGTGGGGGGGGGGGGGGGGGGGGGGCTGGCTGTGTGTGTACGTGATTCAGTGTTGTGTGCGTAGGTGTGTGATCCAGTCGTGTACGTTTGGATCTTTGGCCATGTACACACTTTGTACATCCGCACGAAACGTTTGTTTTATCCGATGTCATGAACGTTTTACTGGGGATTATATAAGGGGGGGGGGGGAATTCAGGGATGTGATCGTTTGTGGTCGTGTGTGTGTGTGTGTGTGTGTGTGCGTGTGTGTTTGCGTTCCTGTTGATTGACGGTTGAGAGGCGGGACCAAAAAGCCAAAGCTCAACCCCCGCAAGCACAAATAAGTGAGTACAGAGTGGAGTGGGCAGACTGCATATTTTTGGATTGCCAGAAAGCCTTTGACACAGGGCCATACAAGAGGCTAGTGAAAAAGCTGGTGATGCAGGCAGGAGTGAAAGGGAAGGTACTCCATTGGATAAGGGAGTACCTAAGCAACAGAAGACAGCGAGTCACTGTGAGTGGTCAGGCCTGAGATTGGCGAGACGTCACCACTGGAGTCCCGCAGGGGTCAGTCCGTGGACCTATACTGTTTCTGATATATGTAAATGATCTGCCAGAGGGTATAGAATCGTTCCTCTCATTGTTTGCTGATGATGCAAAAATTATGAGAAGAATCAAAACAGATGAAGATAGAGACTACAGGACGACCTGGACAAACTGGTGGAATGGTTTAGAAAATGGCTGCTAAAATTCAACTCAGGAAAGAGTAAAGTAATGAAATTAGGCGAAGGGAACAGAAGGCTGAATACAATGTACTATCTGGGAGGTGAAATCCTGCAAGAGACAAATAGAGAGAAAGATCTGGGTGTTGATATCACACCGAACCTGTCCCCAGAGGCCGACATCAAAAGGATATCATCAGCGGCATATGCTAGACTGGCCAATATAAGAACTGCCTTTAGAAACTTGTGTAAGGAATCGTTCAGGACCTTGTATACCACTTATGTAAGACCAATCCTGGAGTATGCAGCTCCAGCCTGGAGTCCATACTTGTTAACACAAGGCAAAGTTAGAGAAGATTCAAAGGTATGCCACCAGACTGGTCCCGGAACTGTGAGGTATAAGCTACGAGGAAAGACTAAGGGAGCTGAACCTCACATCCCTGGAAAACAGAAGAATAAGTGGGGAGACATGATAGCCACCTACAAAATTCTCAGGGGAATTGACAGGGTGGACAAAGACAAACTCTTCAGCACGGGTGGGACACGAACAAGGGGACACAGGTGGAAACTTAGTACCCAGAGGAGCGACAGAGACATTAGAAATAATTTTTTCAGTGTCAGAGTAGTTAGTAAATGGAATACATTAAGTAGTAATGTGGTGGAGGCTGACTCCATACACAGTTTCAAATCTAGATATGTTAGAGCCCAATAGGCTCAGGAATCTATACACCAGTTGATTAACAGTTGAGAGGCGGGACCAAAGAGAGACAGCTCAACCCCCGCAAGCACAACTAGGTGAGTATAACTAGGTGAATACACACCGGCACGCACACACCCCCGTCACTAGGTGAGTACACACACACGCGCCCACACACACACACACACACACGCCCAACACACATGCACAACACAGGCACCTGTAGCAAAGTTAAAATAAGGCGACATCTCTGTTTATTCATCAGATAAGCGTGTCGCTATCATGTATCAGAACACCAAGTGTGTCGATATCATGCATCAGAGCACCGAGTGTGTCGCTATCATGTATCAGAACACCAAGTGTGTCGCTATCATGCTCCAGAGCACCACGTGTGTCGCTATCATGCATCAGAGGCCCAAGTGTGTCGCTATCATGCATGTGACACATGGCACTGCGCAGGATTTACTTCTCAGTGATTCGCTACTTGAATTTTCTAGTGCCATAGGTGGGTGACACTTGAGTATGTCCCTATGTTATGACAGTGGCTCTAAGGGGAGGTGGGAGAACTGTCGCTTCTCATAGGGGGGGTTCCACGGGGGTGTTTGGAGGGGGGGGGAGGGATGTGCAGGCTCGTCGTACCCCCGTGGGAAAGTGGGGGTGGGGGGGGGGTTAACTTTAATCCTATCGCTTTTGTTTGTTTTGACATGTGTGTGTGTGTTTGTGTGTTTGGTTGACATGTTTGACTCTTGTATATTTTACGTCTTGCACATCTCTGTTTGCAATCTTTGTTTGTGTTCTCTTATATAGAAGGTAAGTATGTTTCTTCCATGCCTCACTTGCATCCCCGTCTCCATTCCTTCCATTCGTACCTTCGCTGGGTCAATCAATGCCTCCGTCAATCATTCACAACCACTCTCTCTCTCTACCCTCCTTTTCTCTCTCTCTCCCTATCTTCCCTTCCCCCCCTCACTTTCCACCGGCCTCCCTTTCATCTTTTTCTCATCTCTCTCCTTTCTTCCCCTCCTCCATAACACACGCGTTTCTCCGACTCTGTCACATCGCAGCTGGCAGGTTCCATTCCTCTGTTCCATACCGTGACAATGAGGTTTCCAGCACAGGTCTTCCAGGGGAGTTCCAAGTCAGCGAGGACATCAATGGTGATCCCCGTGACCCGCCTTGTGAATTATCTCATGATGTGTGTGTGTGTGTGTGTGTGTGTGTGTGTGTGTGTGTGTGTGTGTGTGTGTGTGTGTGTGTGTGTGTGTGTGTGTGTGTGTATAAATTTGTAAATATATATATTTTTGTCGATTTTTTTTAGTTGGTTCCTTTGATACAATTCCAGGAGGATATCAATGCACATTCAGAATAAGATAATTTTGGCCTCACATACACCCTTCCACATGCCAAGGATAAACTCCTTCATCTCACACGTCACTGATCATGTAAAGGCCGTCTTGCTAGTTTACATAATTAACCCTGAGGATAGCACTCATGGGGGGCTCCTCTGGTATTCACGCGCCTTCCGCGAGTTCCTGGGAAAGATGATCGGAGACCTGAGGTGGATGGAAGACAGAGAATGGCGACATCAATTCCCACTATTTTTTTGTTTTTGTTTCTAGGACCTAGTCTTTCTAGGACCTAGTCTTTCTAGGACCTAGTCTTTCTAGGACCTAGTCTTTCTAGGACCTAGTCTTTCTAGGACCTAGTCTTTCTAGGACCTAGTCTTTCAAAGACCTAGTCCTTCCATGTTAACTCACTCTTCTGTTTTAAGGGTTACCTATTCCACAGCAGCCAAAACTCAGGGGAGAATGCCATTTTGCTACTAAATCTTTGTTATATAATGTCCTCAAGGTGTTACTTGACGAAAACATTTAACTCTTGCCATCAGACTTGGGTTGCCTTCGCGTCCATTCAGCCATCAGCGTTCTTATCCATCTCTCCCAATCTCCTGTGAAATGGTAGAGGAAATCATATTAGCATACGTAGGTTATTTTGCAAAGGTGGGAGAGCAATCCCAGCTCCACGCTAAGCATCACCGAGTGGGATTCTCTGACAGGTAGGTCATACACGTGAAATGGTCGGTAGAGCCAAGCCCTCGTTTCTTACAGGGTCGGAGTTCGATTCCCGATCGTCCCTAGTGGTTGGGCATTGTTTCTGATTTGTTTTCGTATCCCAGCGTCCATCCTGTCCTCTCCTTCCATATGTTATATAGTCCTTCATGCTTAGGGCCTCTAATAATTTCCATTTCTCTCACGACCTCAGACGCTGACCAGTTCCAGGTTTCCTCAGTATTAAGTAGTAAAGATGTAATGCTATCATTCCTGGAATTGACTTTTAAACTGAGAGTTTAAGGAGAACGAACCAAGGGTTATTGGAATTGTTTTGCTATCTGGAGTTCTGTAATCGCTCTAGTGCCCCAGCGTCTTTTCCGATTAGAACGAAAATAGGAACGATTAATTTGAACGTGTCTAATCGTTGATTAGACTTGTTTCGCATATTTGACGGAAGGGAAAGGAAGATTGTTGTAGGATAATCTGTCTATTAATATGCTTGGAGACCTTCCTTGCTCAGCTTTAAATCAATTTAACCATAAAAGGCATTCCGGCTTGCTGAAGATTTGGAGAATATACCGTGATTCTTACAGCTCATATGCTCTGAGCATTGTACATGAGACACGGACTTGCCAAATGTTTAGACAACATACGTTACTTCAGCACGGATGTGGCTGGTCTGTGTGTGTTTGTTTAACATGTCTTCCATTACATAATATTTGATGGAGAATTACATCTGGTTGGTAGAAGGAGGCCTAGCCCCTTCCTCCCTTAGCCTCGGAGGAAAGTACACATAATGTATTAGAAGGAATGTTTAGGTCCCCTCCAATACAGTTTCTATGTTATTTTCTCCTACCACCCCTTTCCTTTTGTGTTTTGTTATGCTTTATTAGATATTTAAAGATTACAAGAT